TTTGTAGTTAACTGTAACCCTTTCTCCACACTCGGTGGCCGCACTGATGGCACTTTGTCCCCCCCAGGTCTCATTGCTGGTGGTAGTGGAAATTGGCGTGTTCCCGCTCATCTGCGGCTGGTGGCTGGACATCTGTTCCCTGGTGAGCTGGTCTTGCACCGTGGGGGGCTTGGGGCTGTGAGCTGGTCCTGTGCTCTGGGATGCTTGGGGCTGTGAGCTAGTCCACACTGTGGGGGGCTTAGACGGGGGTGTGAGCGAGAGTGTCCGTTGAAGGGCAGTAACCCTTGGACCTTGCTGGTCGGGGTCTTTCTGAGCGTCCTCTCTGCGGCGTCTTGAGTGTGGCTGAGAGCTTTCAGTGTTCTGTGCACATTTGATGTCTGATTTCTTTGCTGGAAGCTCTAACAACTAGTGGAGAACTCTCCAACTCAGCTTGTGATGCTGCAAGGTCATGTGCGCACAGAGAGTGCCGGCAAGAAGGCTGTGCCCATGCAGTAGATCACGCCCTGGTGTTGTGGTCACCAGCGGGGGCCTGACTTGACCGGGACCCTCAGTGGCTGGCAGTGGTCGTCAGTCTGCGTCCCCGCAGAGGTCCCACGTGCAGAGAAGCCACCTGTGGCTGGCTCTGAGGGCGTGCCCTCCTCCCGCGCCACTCTGCAGTCGAGCTCAGCACCACAGAATTGACGTCACCGGAGCGGGGCTGGGGAGCCACGGCCCACCCCGTCCTGCTTTTTAAGTGCCTTCAACGTGTCCACACCCTGAAGTCGTCTCCAGTCACACCACGTGTCTTTCTGATGCCACACGATGACAGTAGGAGGGCTGTGGCCCCAGAGCCGTGCCACCTACTTGAGCCTCAGCTGCCTGGCTTCTTGGGAGGTGGGTGTGTTAACCCTTCTCCCTGTCTGTGTGTCCAGGAGATGTTTGATGCCACTCTGAAGGACCGAGAGCTGAGCTTCCAGTCAGCCCCAGGCACCACCATGTTCTTGCACTGGCTGGTGGGGATGGTGTATGTGTTCTACTTTGCCTCCTTCATCCTACTGCTGAGAGAGGTGAGTCCACGGCTGCGCACGGCACATCCATAGGCTCGTGACTTGTCCTGGGAGGACGTTGGGCTGGTGCTTCAGAGTGCTTTCACCTGGACGTCCCCAAAACGGACAAGGTTCAGTGCTTCTGTTCACAGTCAGCTGTGGATTGGGAAGGAGATCAACAACAGGGAAGTAGTTCAGGGAAAGTTCTCATTCCATCGGGTGTGAGCTGTGGCCTCAGATCAGATACCCGGGCGTGGCTGTGCCACAAGCCTGTTCCGGGCTCGATGCAGGGCCACGAGCCTGTCCCCCTCTTGACTCGAAGGCCACAAGCCTGTCCTGGGCTTGACACGGGCCATGACCCTGTCCCGGGCTCGCTGCCCCGAGCTCGATTCAAGGGAACATCCTGCTGAAAATGGCAGAACGACGCTCCACGGGATTAAATATGTAAGGTGGTCTTGAAGTAGACACCTTGCAGGTAGACTTACTTCAGGGCCACTGTCACCCCAGAACACTTGTCCCGTGGGCTCCCTTACGGTCCTGGTGAAGGAACGAGGCCTTGTTGGTGCCTTGAGTTGGCACTGCCCCAGCCAGACCATCCTGTGCTGAAGGACATGTCCACCCAGCCTCTCCGACGCTTGTCCTTGCCATCGTGCATCCTTTTGCTGAGTGTTTGCCAAGCGCTCACAAGTGCCAAACCCTGGGCTGTACCCAGACCCTGGGCCGTACCCGGACCGTGGGCAATACTGGGCCCTGGGCTGTGCTTGGATTCTGGGCTGTACCTGGGCCCTGGGCTATACCCAGACCGTGGGCCGTATCCGGGCCTGGCCTGTATCAGGCCCTGGGCTGTGCCTTGTGCTGTGCCCTGCGTCAGGCACTGGGCTACCGTGATAGGAAGGACACGATTCCCCCACCCTCCATGTCCCTGTGTGCACCCGGCTCAGCGCCCACAGGTGGGGACTTGTGTGAGCACAGCAAGTGCCTGCCATGCTTCTTGTGCCCTGGGAACAATGCCAGTTAAGCTCCATGAATTCTGTCGCAGGTAGTGCCTGACCTTTCTTAGAGACCAAAGCAGGCCCGATAAGGTTTTAAAGGTTTGGAATTGGAGTGAGAGTTGAGTGTTACCGTGAGTGATGCACTGCTTTCTCTTGAAGACCGCCAGTGATGGGCGTGTGGGTGGTGCTCTTTGGTGGTGGGAACCGTAGGCTTTGAGTGTTACTGATAGGGACCTGGGCTTCGGGGGTCAGCTGGGTGGGAGGG